CATGTGTGGGGGTTGAATGGATGTGCTACCCGTGTTGTAATTCTAAACTTATGATGCCTATGAATTGTAACTCTATGGGAACTTTGGAAACTAACTTATCTACAGTTTAATGTTGTGATCTAAAATGAACTAAAAATGTCGAATATACTATCTTCCTTTGTTGAATAAATGAAAGCATGGTCCCCTTTTTCGTATTGAGTTAGGTAGGTAGTGTTTGGTAAGGCTTACTCAGTTGGGGTCACTCGATTGAGCACCGGTCGCGCCTCCCGAGGTTGGGGCGTGACAATTATTTATATCTAAAAATAATGGTTGCAAATATTGATTCATTCTATTCGACATAGTTCTTAATTCAGAAAGAGGAACGTAGTCTAGGAAAACTTGGCTAACAATATATTAAGCCAATTAAGGTTTTGACTAGTTTTATTAAAGGATTTGAACTAGAGATGGGAATAATCCCACGTGGACTCATATCTATTGCTTATATTGCTACCTATTTGGAATAGAGAAAGCCAATTTGAGCATAACCGCTCCATGACTGAGAGGCATTGAGTGGGTACTTGAGAATTGAGAGTCATATTTCACCCCGATCTACCAAGAAAGCATTAATTTACTATACCCATTAGGTTTACAGATAGGTGAAGATTTCATCCCTAGGCTTTTGCATTAATTTATTAAAACACCAAAAATATTTCATTCTCTAGTTGCTACTATTCCGATTAATTTCTTAGCTATTAACTATCATGACCCAATTTAGGATTGTGACCGGCACTTAGGAGCAAGTGCTCCCAAGTAAGCCTCATCGGTATTTTACAGAAAATCGGACAGAGTTTCCCCTGTTTTTGGACTATCCCAAAAATTTCCGTCTGAAATCAACAACCAACATCCTAATATCATACCAAAAAATTGAAAACTTATCCATTAACAAAAACAAGGCTCCACCATTACTTATCAACCCACTAACAACAAGAAATACTAATTTATCTCCAACTTTGATAGTAAAGAACGATACACAACATAGGACTATAATAACAAAAGAATACTCAAGACACTAAAATATAGACTATGGAGCGACTCTGAGAGCACAATTAAAACACTATAACAATAAATATAGTCTTCGCCCACGCGAACAAGTGCTAGGCTCACCAAGAACTATCAACCTGTGCGCTCAAATTAATGAAGTCCTCGACCGCGTCAACGGTTGTCTCGGTAAAAACTAATAGCAGGGATTGAGTCGCTAGCTTAGTAAGTAATAACAGTTAACCACAACCATTTTGGGGACAAGTCAGAAAACATGCTAGTATCAAACAGAAAATAACATAAAAATGCTCTTTAAGAAGCAATAAATAATTTTCAGTCTCATCATGCTTTTCTTGTAGTATAATACAATTAACAATTTAGTAATAAGCTCGGTAACTACTGCATAATATCAGTATTCAGATTTTGGGAGGTTTCACTGAATGGATCATGTAATCGGTATAACTGTGGACTTCCTCGCAAGAAGTCAAATATAACGGTAGTCCCTACTTGAGGGAAATCGGTAACGGTATGCTAGTTCTACCTTCCCACTAGCGAGGGCTATAACTGTACTCGATAATCGGTAAATACAAGGTGCACCAGGTCTAACGAACCCGCCGTTAGCTACGGGATCCCTCAAAGTCTGCTTCCCTTCATACTTGTCTTAGTAATCCGTATATACTCATAGGAAAATATTTTGAAACAATATAGGGCAATTTGGTTCTTATCAAATCATGTAATCTCATTTCGATAAATTCAAGTAACGCTAGAACATATCTAGTGACAACAAGAATATTTAAAACAACAGTAATCGTGTCAAATAACTATTTCGGTGTCATATCGAGTAAAAGACTTGTCCTACATGCAACTCAAAATAATCGATAAAATATTCATACTAAAAATTATGTGTAAATCATGCAAGTTACGAAAACATAAATTGCGATAAGATTACTACTCATAGTACTCGTGCCGAAATCCCAAATGCTTCACCTTGAGCAATGCGTACAACTTCCTCAAATTCAATCTATAGTTACATAATATCGGTCTCGTGTTAATTTCTATGTTTAGGCTGATTTCTAGCTAATTTAGAATACCCAACCCTCGAGGTTCCATATTTGACTCTTAATTTGCCGAATTTTATTCACCTACAGGATGAGTCATTACTAATCTATCAATTCCAACCTATTCATATAATATACTCGCTTAATTTATGAATAGGCTTATGGATTTCTCTTAGTTCCTAACCTGCTCATCTAACTCAGAATCAAATCCCACATTATATTTGCTTAGTCTCGCGAGGAATCATATAAAAACTACTATTGTTTCAAAAGAAGGAAAATAATATGCAATTACCTGAGCTTATCACTTAGACTACAAAATATATACCAATGTTTAAACGGAAACGGTATTTGGCACTAAGGTAACACCAGAAACCTTCTCCCTTTTCGTTTTTCTCTATTGATGCTTCTGCCGTGATGTTTGGCGTTGGCTAGGGGTTTCTCTTTTTATTTCAAACCCTTTTTCTTTTGCTTCTGGTTTGGTTACGCCAACAACCCTTTCCCTTTCTTTCTTTTTGATTTGGCCAGCGAAAGGGGCTTAGGCCCTTTTCTTTGCTTATCTCTTTTTTTTTTTAAAGTTAGTTTCTTATTATTATTATTTTGCCAATGACCAATAAATCATTATAAAAAATATAGGGTATTACATCTTCCCCACCTTATGAAATTCGGTCCCCGAATTTAACTCAAGTACGTACCTGTAGACTGGAACAAAATGGGGGTGCTTGACTCGCATAGTATCCTCTATTTCCCACGTAGCTTCGTCAGCTGTATGATTTCGCCATAAGACTTTTACGAACTCAATTTCTTTTGACCGTAGCTTTCTTACTTGCCTATCAACAATAGCCATCAGTTCCTCCTCGTAAGACAACTTTTCATCCAGCGGTATAGCAGGTGCTTCAAGCACTTGAGATGAGTCTAATATACAATTCCTTAGCATTGAGAAATAAAACACTGGATGAATAAAGGACAACTTAGGAGGAAGTGCCGAACTATAAGCCACAGCTCCCACTCAGTCTAGTATCTCATATGGTCCTATAAACCTGGGGCTCAGCTTGCCTCTTTTCCCAAACCGCATCACACCTTTCATAGAGGAGACTCGTAGGAACACACTAAATCTCTTCTTCTCTTATCAACATAAGACATTTGTCTGCTTTGAGCTATGAGCAATCTCTGTCTGATCAACTAGACTTTTCCATAGCTTCTTGTACTAATTCAGGTCCCAATAAGTTAGTCTCACCAGCTTCAAATCATCCGATAGGAAAGCGACATCTTATACCATACAATGCTTCATACAGTGCCATTTGAATACTGGACTTGAAGCTGTTGTTGTAAGCAGACTCAGCTAAAGGTAGATAAGCGTCCCAGCTACCTGCAAACTCAAGAATGCAAGCTCTCAACATATCCTCCATGATCTGTATAGTATGTTCAGGCTGACCGTCTGTTTATGGATGAAATGCAGTACTAAGATCTACTCGTGTACCCAATACTTCTTGAAAAGATTTCCAAAAGCGTGAAGTGAACTGTGATCCTATATCAGAGATGATGGATATTAGAACTCCGTGAGATGATGGATATGTGCATACCTCACTCCACCATATGTAGTCTTCACTGGCAAAAAGTGTGCTGATTTCGTCAGTCGATCTACAATCACCCATACAGAGTCATAAACTCTAAAGGTTCGTGGTAGCCCGGTGATAAAATCCATAGTAATTCTTTCCCATTTCCACTCTAGAATCTCCATTTGTTGTAATAGTCCTGCGGGTCGCTGATGCTCGACCTTGACTTGCTGACAAGTTAAACAACTAGAAACAAAGTTAGCAAAATCTTTCTTCATACCTTCCCACCAATAGAATTGCTTTAGGTCATGATACATTTTGTGGATCCCGGATGTATAGTGTATCTAGTGCTGTGAGCTTCATTAAGAATAGCATGTCTCAACCCATCTACGTCTACGACACATAGCCTGTCACCCATTCGAATAACACCATCATTGTTAACAATCATATCCTTTCTTTTACCAGTTAAGGCCTGATCTCTGTATTTGAAAAATCCCTTATCCTCATATTGGGTGGCCTTAATGCGCACAACTAATGAAGACTTAGCCTGAGCACAAGTCAACAATGCCTATGAATTCCCGACACCAAATCTGATACTTGTATCTTCTAGTCACTGAATATCTTAGCCCAAGAGTCTCTTCGTAGGAGCCATATGTGCCAAACTCCCCATAGATTCTCTACTAAATGCATCAGCCACCACATTGGCTTTTCTAGGATGATAGAAAAGAGAACAATCATAGTCTTTGAGTAGTTCCATCCAACGACGTTGCCGAAGATTTAGATTTCTCTGCTGAAAGATGTACTTTAGACTTTTTTGGTCAGTATAAATCTCACAAGTTTTGCCGTATAGATAATGTCTCAAAATTTTTAGAGCAAATGCCACTACAACCATCTCCAAATCATGTGTAGGATAGTTTTGCTCCTGCTTTTTCAATTGTCTCGAAGCATAAGCTATAACGAGATCATTTTGCATGAGAACACATCCTAATCCTACCCTCGAGGCGTCACAGAACACCGCAAATCCTCCGAAACCTGATGGTAAGGCTAATATTGGTGCAGTTGTCAAACATGTTTTGAGTTTTTGAACGCTCCGCTCACATTCCTCCATCTACTAAAACTTTGCATTTTTCTGTGTTAGCTTAGTCAGTGGCGCTGCTATTCCGGAAATATCCTGCACAAAATGCCTATAATAGCCTGCTACGCCTAAAAAGCTGCGAATCTCTGTAGGAGAAGTGGGACTGAGCCATTTCTGCACAACTTCTGTCTTCCTAGGATCTACCATAATTCTTTCTTTATATACAACATGCCCATGAAATACTACCGAGTCTAGCCAGAATTGACACTTTGAGAACTATGCATAAAGCCGATGTTCTCACAATGTCTGCAAAACAGTCCTGAGATGATCATCCTGATCTTCTTTGCTACGAGAATATATCAGGATATCATCAACAAATACTGTTACAAATATATCCAGAAATGGCTTGAACACCCTATTCATTAAATCCATGAATGTCGCGGGAGCATTGGTCAGTCCGAAAGGCATCACAAGAAACTCATTGTGCTCGTATCGAGCTCTTAAAGCAGTCTTAGAAATACCTTCATCTTTGATTCTAAGTTGATGGTAACCTGAACAGAGGTCAATCTTTGAAAAGTGGGCAGCTGCTTGTAAGATCAAACATGTCATCTATACTAGGCAAGGGATATTTATTGCGTATTGTTATCTTGTTCAATAGCCTGTAGTCAATGCACATTCTCAGGGATCCGTCTTTCTTCTTTATGAACAGTACTAGTGCACCCTATAGTGATACACTAGGTCTAATAAAACCCTTATCTAACAAATCCTGTAACTATTGCTTTAGCTCTCTCAACTCTGTTGGTTCCATTCGAAATGGGGGCACCGATATGAGCTGTGTGTCAGGTAGCAAATCAATAGCAAAGTCTATTTCTCGTACTGGAGGCAATACTGGTAAATCCTCAAGAAATACATCAGAAAATTCTCTCACTACTGGTATATTTTCTATTCTAACTATTTCCTTTCTTGTCTCATTTACAATAGCTAAGAGACCCAAGAAACCTTTCTTCAAAAGTCGTTGAGCTTTCATAAAAGATACAATTTTTCAAGTTTGTGGAACCTGACGCCCTCTTAGAATAAAACTTGGTTCATTTGGTATCTCAAACTTAACTATCTTTGCATGGAAATCGACTATAGCATAGCAAGAAGATAACCAATCCAATCCCATAAGCATGTCAAAGTCAATCATATCAAGTACAATAAGATCAGCTAGAGTATCTCTACCCTCAATCCGAATCTGACAAGCACGATACACGTATTCAGCTAACAGAGACTCTCCAACAGGAGTAGAAACTAGAAAATGATCATTCAATAGCTCAAGTTGTCTACTAAAGCTCAAAGCAAAGTACGAGGACACATGGGAATGATTAGATCCCGGATCAATCAATGCAAGTGCATCAAATGAACAGACAGAAAGAATACCTATAACCACAACATTCGAGGACTGAGCATCCTATGTAGTAAATGCAAAAACTCTCGCTTGACCTCTACCAGAATTCCCTTATCCTTGATTCACAGTAGCACAATCTCCAGCACCTCGATTTCTATTTCCTGTACCTATAACACCTGAAGTATTGCGAGTAGTCTGAGTAGGTGCAACTGAGTGAATAGGATCCTGGTTGAAATTTCTCAGAGGCTGAGGGCAATCCCTAAAATGATGTTCCAACTGGCCACACAGAAAGCACTCTCTAGTTAGAACACGACACTAGCCCAAATGTGATCTACTACAGGTCTGGTAGACTGGAGTAGTGGCATATATCTTCCCAGAATTACGATGTCCAGATGCTCACGGTCCCCTAGTACCCTGTCAATAATGTGGCCTATATGTGGGCTGTGAAGACAAATATGTCCCTGTCTAAGAAAACTGTTATTGTTGTCCCTAATTTCCTGCTCTTCAGTTTTCACTAAAACTGCCACTGAAAGACCATCATGTCTTGGCCTTCTTACGTAAATCACTAGTTGCACGCTCATCACGTCCTTTGTTTTCAATCTTTCTAGCAAGGTTGACTACATAAGAGTGGGATAAAGTCTTCATCTGTGGGGCTACTACAGTGTATAGACGACCAACCAATCCATCAACAAACCTCTAAACTCGAGCTTCTTCGGTAGGTACTATGTAAGGAGCATATATAGCCTGCTTAAAAAACTTAGTGTTATATGTTGACACATCCATATCTGGAGTCTGAACCAATCTCTCAAAGTCTCTAGCATATTCTTGCATCGGGCTATCTAGAAGAAAATGATTCTTGAACAACTTAGTGAACTCGTCTCATGTCAGTGGTGTTTCTCCTGATGGCCTTCCTAGCAATAAAATTTTATACCATGCGTTGGCCATATCCTCTAGTTTGCATGCTGCGAGCTCCATGACTCTCTCACTAGAACATCCAAAAGCACGTAATGCCTTGAGTGTCCCATCCAAGAAACTTTGAGGATCTTCTTTATTATCAGAACCTGTGAATTTTGGTGATTTCAATTTCAGGAAAACTTGTAAGGATACTTCTTTATTTCTAAAAGTCTGAGTGTGTGCAGGTGCTTGTGTTTGTAAAGTAACCTGAGGAGCTTAACTTCCACCCTGAGTAGGCACCAATGCCTCTAAAACATTCAATAACATTGCCACTGTGTCTGCAGGTAAGGCAACAGTAGGTACAACAGTTGGCACTAGTGGTGGAGCGTCCTGAACTCCCTGCCCTTGCACTTGATCTGGCATATTAGCTTGGGGTTGATCCATGTTCCTAACATCAAGTTGAGGAGCAATCTGTCTTCTAGTTTGATGAACCCCAACTTGACTGCCACCCCGCGTTGTACCACGTCCAGCACCACGACCAGCAGATGAGGGTGTGCGTGTCCTAGCCATCTACGAAAGAAATACTCCAAAGTTAATCTCATGTTATCTCAACGCACGATCAAAGAATGGAAAAAGGGAAAACATTTCTAGATGTTCAGTAGCCTCAAGATCATAAGTATGGGCGCTTACATACCCATGAACAAGACTATACTAAACATTGCTCCATGACTCAGGACTTAAAGCCTAAGCACTGATACCTACTTTGTCATGACCCAATTTAGGATCGTGATCGGCGCTTAAGAACAAGTGCTCCCAAGTAAGCCTCATCGGTATTTTACAGAAAATAGGACAGAGTTTCCCTTGTTTTTGGACTATCCCAAAAATCTTCCTATTTGAAATCAACAACCAAACATCCTAATATCATACCAAACAGTTGACAACTTATCAATTAACCAAAACAATTCTCTACCATTACTAACCAACCCACTAACAACCAGAAATACTAATTTATCTCAAACTTTGATACTAAAAAACGATACACAAAATAAGACTATAATAACAAAAGAATGGTCATGGCACTAAAATATTGACTATAGAGCGACTCTAAGAGTTCAAAAAAAAGACAATAACAATAAATAGAATCTTTGCCCACGCGAACAAGTGCGAGGCTTACCAAGAACTATCAACTTGTGCGCTCTAATTAACGAAATCTTCGCCCCCGTCAACTGTTGTCTGTGTAACAAAATTATAGCGGGGAATGAGTCGCTAGCTCGGTGAGTAATAACACTTAACCACAACCATTTATATTGGGGACATGTTAGAAAACATGTTAGTATCTCAAATAAAAAATAACATAAAAATGCCCTTTCAGAAACAATAAATAATTTTCAGTCTCATCATGCCTTTCTTGTAGTATAATACAATTAATGTCACGATCCAAAATCCATTGAGGGTCGTGATGGCGCCGGACACTACTGTCAGGCAAGCCAACTAAAATACTATATTAGATTCCAATTTAGAAAATTTTGAAAACCCAGATTTTTCCTTCTAATTTCATAAGTAAAGAGACAACTGCTTCAATTCAAATTAAGTAATAAGCAATTAATACAAAATATTTCAAAACCATCCCAGAACCCGGTGTCACAAGTGCATGAGCAATTTCTAAGAAATAATATAATACAACATCCGTCCGGAATACAGTGGACAGAAAGTAAATACAATATACCAGAAGGGACTATACTAGCTGCGGGCCGCCTTGAATAATGCAACTCACCTAGTCCCCGAATCATCCGTGGTGCTACGCCCAGTAGGCCACTAGAGTTACATATACCTGTGCAACAAAAATACACAGAAGTGTAGTATGAGTATGAAAACAACGTGTACTCAATGAGTATCCCGTCTAATCTCGAAGAAGTAGAGGCGAGATGGTCGACTTCGACACTTACTAAAGGTCCAATAATGATGTCAATAATTCATTAAATCGTGGACTCTTATAAACATGATTTTTAATCCAATAGGAGGAAACAAGTAAAAAATTATTTCTTTTATAGGGGGGTTTCCCAAAATTCCTTCTCATTATTTATCCAAATATTCTGAAGCCATGAAGAGGCAATAACAACTTCAATAAGTTCAAGGCAGCAATACAAGCATGTGCAAATAACATCGTGGTACGTACGACCTGCTCCAAACAGAAAATAAACTATGCACTGCCGAGGGTCGAACGGCGCGAACCATAGATGCATTTATTCCCCCGCTCGCGAACTATCCATGCGACGCGGTCAACATAAATTAAAAAATCACCCTGCTCGCGAATCATGCATGTGACGCAGGTACACATAGAAATACATGCTCAGATTGCCAATTAAGAATTTATCGGGGAATATTTATTCAAATAAAAGCCACGTTCTCTTTTAACAATTTAAAAAAAAGAAGTTTAATCCTTTTTGAAATTTATTTATTAATTCGATGTGGTTTAAGCAATTCGAGCTGTCAATAAGTTATAGTAAATCCAAGTATAGCATGTTTTTGGGTCCTATACTACCCGGACAATTGCATAATAATAGCTACGCACGGAATCTCGTAACCTCGTGCGTGCGTAGCCCCCACAAATAGGAGCACAATACCAATTAATTCGCCTATGGGGACAATTCCCTCCTACAAGGTTAGAAAGGAGACTCACCTCGCTCCGAAGGATCATAACCGACATTCCACGCCCTTCCGAAGACTCGAATCGATGCACAACGCTCCAAAACTAGCCAATAATTATGTAAATCCATTAATATATGCTAAGGTATTCATTATAATCCAATTTAAAACAATTTCTAACCCCGATCGGAAAGTTGACAAAAATGCCCTCGGGCCTACGTGCCCGGAATCCAAAATTTTTCGATGATAAAGATTACCCATGGCCTCACGAACTCAAATATATGATTTTCTCTAAATTCCACACCCAAAATCGTGGTCAAAATCCAAGAATACTAGTTTTTCTAGGTTTTCCCTCAAACCTCAAGTTTTCTCTCAAACCTCAAGTTTTCTACAATTTTCCAAGTCTAAATCCATATATAAACCTTGTATATACTCAAAACTAGTAGAAATCACTTACCTCATGCTTGGTGATGAAAATGGCACTCCAAAGTTGCTCCAAATTCGGCTCCCATGGAAGAAATGAAGTGAAAATGAGCCAAACTTCGATTTTTAAAGAAACCTCTCTGCCTCCAGCAAAAATTTGACCGCATCTGCGGTTATGACAGCAACCAGCACTTTTCTCGACACCGAAATGAGCATAACTCCCTCAAACGATGCCCAAATTCGACGGTTCTTTTTGTGTTGGCTCCGCAATTACGATACGGATCTAAACTTAATTTGGAGCTCATTTGCATAATATGGCAACCCTTTATGTCCAAATAAACGACGTTGAAACATCGAATAAGAGCGCGATACAAACCGAAACACACCCGAGGCCCCCCGGACCCCGACCAATCACACCAACCAGTCCCAAAACACATTACGGACTTGCTCGAGGCCTCAAATCACATCAAACAACGCTAAAATCATGAATCAACTCCTAATCCAAGCTTTATGAGCTTTAGAACTTCCAACTTCTACTTTCGATGCTTAAACCTATCAAATCACGTTCGATTGACCTCAAATTTTGCACACAAGTCATATTCGACATTACGGACCTACTCCAACTTTCGAAATCGGATTCTGACCCCGGTATCAAAAAGTCCACTTCCAAAGAAACTTCTCAAAAACCTTAAAATTTCTATCTTTAGACAAATGGCTCTAAAATGACCTACGGACCTCCGAATTCACTTCCGATCGCGCTCCGAACTCCACAATCGCCATACGGAGCTTCTCCTAGACTCGGAATCCCAAACGGACATCAATATCACTGGAATGCACTTCAACCCAAACTTATGAAATTTCTTTCAAAATGCTACTTTCCACAATAGGCGCCAAAACACTCCCGGGTCATCCAAAACCCGATCCGGGCATACGCCCAAGTCCGAAATCATCATACGAACCTGCTGGAACCTTCAGATCCCGATTCCGAGGTCGTTTACTCAAAATTCCAATCCTAGTTAATTCTTTCAACTTAAGGCTTCCGAAATGAGAATCCCCTTTCCAAATCAACTCTGAACTTCTCGAAACTTAATTCCGACCACGTGTACAAGTCATAATACCTGAAATGAAGCTGTTTATGGCCTCAGACTGTTGAACGCTGTGCTAGAGCTCAAAACGACCGGTCGGGTCGTTACAATTAACAATTCAGTAATAACCTCGATAACTACTGTATAATATCAATATTCACATTTTGGGAGGTTTCAATGAACGGATCATGTAATCGGTATAACTATGGACTTCTTTGCAAGAAGTCGAATATAACGGTAGACCCTACTCGACGAAAATCGGTATTGGTGTGCTAGTTATACCTTCCCACTAGCGAGGGCTATAATTGTACTCTATAATCAGTAAATACAAGGTGCACCAGGTCTAACTAACCCGCCGTTAGCTACGCAATCCTTAAAAGTCTACTCCCATTTATACATGTCTCTATAATCCGTATATACTCATATGAAAATATTTTAAAACAATATAGGGCATTTTGGTTCTCATCAAATTATTTAATCTCATTTTGATAACAATAAATTCAAGTGACGCCACAACATATTTAGTGACAATAAGAATATTTAAAACAACAGTAATCATGTCAAATAACTATTTCGGTGTCATATCGAGTAAAAGACTTGTCCCACATGCAACTCAATATAATCGGTAACATATTCATATTAAATATCGTGTGTAATCATGCAGGTTATGAATGCACAAATTGCGGTAAGATTACTACTCATAGTACCCGTGCCGAAATTCCAAATGCTTCACCTGGAGCAATTCGTACAACTTCCTCCAATTCAATCTATAATTACATAATAGTGGTCTCATGTTAACCTCTATATTTAGGCTGATTCATAGCTAATTCAGAATACCCAACCCTCGAGGTTCCATATTTGACTCTTAATTCGCCGAATTATATTCAACCACGGGATGAGTAATTACTAATCTATCAATTTCAACCTTTTCATATAATATACCCGCTTAATTCATGAAAAGGCTTATGGATTTCCCTTAGTTCCTAACCTCCTCTTCTAACTTAGAATCAAATCCCACATTATATTTTCTTAGTCTCGCGAGAAATCATGTATAAATACTACTATTGTTTCAAAAGAAGGAAAAATATATGTAATTACCCGGGCTTATCAGTGAGACTACAGAATATATACCAATGTTTAAATGGCAACGGTATTTGGCACTGAGGTAACACCTGAAACCTTTCCCCTTTTCATTTTTCTCTGTTGATGCTTCTGCCGTGATATTTGGCGTTGGCTAGAGGTTTCTCTTTTTTTTTTTGCAAACCCTTTTTCGTTTGCTTCTGCTTTGATTATGCCAATAGCCCTTTCCCTTTCTTTCTTTTTGATTTGGCCAGAGAAAGGGGATTCGGCCCTTTTCTTTACTTATCTCCTTTTTTTATTTGTTTTCTTTAAAGTTAGTTTCTTATTATTATTATTAGTATTTTGCTAATGACCAATACACCCTTAAAAAAATATAGGGTATTACATTAACTTAGATTAAAATTACCCACTGTGTTTAAAAGTCTAATTTAGCTATTTCATGTTCTCCTCTTGAGTATTTACCTTAATACCTATATAAACTCCCTATGAAATTTAACCCCGACTCGCGGTGCGTTTTATAATTGTAATGACTGTTTCATACTTATTATTTTGAGTGTGAATTAGATGTTATCAATTTTTGGTACCGTTGCTGGAGAGTTTTATGGTGTTAGCTATATACTTGAGTTTATTTATTTAAATATATTCTTCTAGTGTCATCTACTTGGTTATTGGAATAACTCACTCATTGGGTATGTATTGGGTGAAAATCCCTATTTCAGATCTATTGAGAACTATATTGAAAATGTGTGGGATTTTTTTAATTCTCCAAAGATCTTATACCATGATGATGGCTATTACATATTTAGATTTGATTCTCTTGAAGATAGAGATAAAGTCATGCAATTAGGGCCTTACACTTTTCATAATAAACAATTTATTTTGAAGAATTGGTCGCTTGATTTTTTCTTTAATCCGGAATGTTTGAATGTGATTCCATTGTGGGTAAGGTTCCCAAATATACCAGTGGGATTTTGGTCAGCTGGGGCCCTAAGCTAACTAGCAAGTGGTATAGGGAAGCCAATGTTTACAGACTTATACATTGCTGAGATCGATGTAATTTTATTTGCTAGAGTCCTTTTAGAAACAGACATTTCTCATCCTTTGCCATGTGATATTCTAATTCGTACTCCAGTAGGAGTTATTCATCAAAGCATAGAGTATGATTGGAAGCCTAAATTTTGTATGGATTATGCAAAAGTTGGGCATACCACTGAGGAATGCAGACAGAGCAAGGAAAAAGAAGCAAATGGAGCATTTGTAGAACAAAATAGAAGGAAGAGAAGGGGAAAAAGAAGGAGAAAGATGGAAGCTAAATGGATAGCAAAAGAGGTAACTGGCCCAATAAATGAAGCACAAACAGTTGATGCTACAAAAGAGGTTGTAACTAAGGACAATGCAGTAGGCTTGCAAATGGAAGGTAGGCAGCTGGATAGGAATGAATTCCCAACACTCTCAGAAGCAATAAGGAATGATAGAAGATATGAAAAGAGGGTGGTCGTTTCTCTTCTGGAGGAACAAAGTTGTTCTACTAGTCAAATTGATACCACAAATAGGTTTGAGATTCTAAATCAGGGTGGTATTGCAGCTGATACTGGGCAGGGTGGTCAGTTCCACCCTACACCTCCATGATAGTCAGTACTTGGAGTATTAAAGGGCTGAACAAGCCCTTTAAACAGAAGGAACTGATCCTCTTTCTGAAGAAGTATAAGGTAGAGGTAATGGGACTAGTTGAGACAAGAGTGAAAGAGAATAAGGCAAAAATGATAGCCCAGAAGATAGCTAAGGACTGGAAAATACAGTATAATTATAATTGTGCATATAATGGGAGAATATGATTATTGTGGAAGGCTCATATCCACATTCAAATTCATATGGTAGATGCACAGTTTGTTCATTGTAAAGTGGAAGAACAAACTAGTCAGAAGAAATGGCTTTTCACTATTGTATGTGCTTATAATGAATTGAACTCAACGCAGCAGTTATGGGAGAAGCTTATGGGTATAGGTTCTAATATCACAGGTGACTTGTTAATTAGTGGTGACTTTAACAATGTTTTACAATCAGAGGATAGGATTGGTGCTCCTATAACAATGGCAGAGGTACAAGGATTTAAAGAGTTCTTGGATAAAATGCAGCTCACTCCCTTGAAAAGCACATGTTGGTATTATACGTGGTGCAATAAAATGGATGAAAATGTAAGGGTATATAGCAAGATAGATTGGGATTTTGGGAATTTCAGTTGGATGATGAACAATGGGCACGTTGAGGCAGAATTTTTGAACCCTAGTGTATCTGATCACTCTCCTATACTCATGAATTGCCAGACTGGTATAATTCAACAACACTTGCATCCTAGACCATTTAAACTGTACCATACTGTCCTCCGCCATCCTGAATTTTGAATAGCGGAAGAAGTATGGGTGCAGAATGATAGAGATATTGGGAAGGAAAGGACATGGCATAAGCTTAGAAGACTGAAGGAGGCATTGAGAGACCTAAACAACTACATGGCACCTTATCAGAGAAAACTGAAACAAGCAAAGTGGAAGTTAGAACTGGTTCAGCATCAACTATCTTTGAGCCTTTTAAAACAAGAATACATAGAACAAGAAAATGAAGCTTTGTTAGAAGTGGAGAAATGGAGTGACATTGAGGAGAAGGTGTTGAGGCAGAAGTTTAGAGCTATTTGGATCCAACATGGAGATCCAAATACCAAGTACTTCCATGCATAGTGGAAGATGCGTACTAACACTAATGCTATTGTTTCTATTCAAAATGATGCAGGTATCAAATTAACTGATCCTAAGCAGATGGAGGAGCAATTTCTGGACTTCTTTAAGAAATTAATGGATGAATCATACTTATTGCACCTTGTCCAGATGCTGAGGTGATTAAAAAGGGACCTTGTCTAACAAGGCACCATCAACTGGAGCTGAACAAGGCAGTCATACAGGAGGAGATAATAGGAGCTATTAAAAGCATGCCAACTGAAAAGGCTCCTATAGTAGATGGATTTCCAGTAGAATTCTACACACAACAATGGGAGGTGATCAAAGCAGATGTGATTGCTGATGTCCTGGATTTTTTTTTTTAATATAGGGAAGCTGCCAAAGGCCATCAATAGCATTACCATTACTTTAATCCCTAAAGTCCCTAACCATACACAAGTTACGAACTTTAGGCCAATAGCATGTTGCACAACTATATACAAGATTATCACAAAGATCATCACTGGGAGATTATCTTAGGAAAGCCTATGATACATAGGATTGGTGCTATTTGAAGAGCATAATGATAGGATTGGGATTTCGACAAAGATTTGTTTGTTGGGTAATGGAATGCCTCACAACATTATCCTACTCTTTGACATTAAATGGAGGACTCACAAAGCCATTTGAAGGTAAAAAGGGATAAGAAAGGGATACCCTATGTCACCCTACTTATTTGTGATAGCTATGGAGTACCCGCAAAGGGAATTCAGTCAACTAGCTTTAAATAAGAACTTCCATTTTCATCCAAGGTGTAAAAGACTATGAGTGATGCATGTGTGTTTTGTTGATGACTTATTGATGTTCTGCAGAGCTAATTTGAAGTCAATTAAGTTACTACAAGATGCATTTATGAAATTTTCAAGAGCTTCAGGCTTCAGGCAAATCTAGATAAAAGCTCAATTTACATTGCAGGAGTAAATGATAGGATGAAAGAACTTATCCTGCAGGAGTTAGGATATAATGAAGGAAGCTTACCATTTAAATACATAGGAGTTCCTTTAGCTCCTAAGAAGCTATCCAACCAACAGTACTAGCCATTAGTTGAAAAGATCACTACAAGGATCACTTGCTGGACCTCAAAATTATTGTCATATTCAGGAAGATTACAACTCATCAAGTCAGTAATTTTTGGAATACAATCTTATTGGGCTCAGGTAATTTTACTACCAAAGAAGATTAGCAAGAAGATAGAGGCAATATATAGAACTTTCCTCTGGACAGGGCAGGCAGATATATCTAGAAGAGCTTTGGTAGCATGGGATAGAGTTTGCTTACCACAAACAATGAGAGGTTTGAATGCGATAAATCTATGTAACTGGAACAAAGCTGCAATAATGAAGCATAAGTGGGCAATCACAAAGAAGAAAGATTGCTTATGCATTTGATGGATCCATTCTTATTACATTATGAATAGGAGCATTGACACCATGCCTATACCTAAGAGTGTAGCTTGGGTAGTAAGGAAGATAATTTAACAAAGGAATTTTATATTGAATCTACCAAGTTTACAAGGCAATGTGCAAGAAAGACTGGAGTCCTTGTAGAGCACAAATGGTAAGTTCACTATCAAGAAGTTATATAACATGCAAACTCCTCAGGGGTACAAGGTTTACTGGAAAAGTCTGATATTACATCCTCATATACATCCTAGACACAGATTCAACCTGTGCCTGGCCATACAAAGGAGATTACCAACAGTTGATCGACTGCAGAAAATTGGTATTAACATAGCTCAAATGTGTGTATTCTGTGGTCAGGAAGATGAACTATTTGAACATTTATATTTTGAATGTTCATACACAAGCACTATCTGGAAGAGACTACTAAACTGGATGGGAATTGAAAGGCAGATTCATGTTTGGGAAGAGGAACTACAATGGGTGGCTTATCATGCTAGGAAGAAGAAAGGGATTGGCAATATTATTGTAGCAGTGTTTGGCATGTTGATATACAGTCTATGGAGAGACAGGAATATGATCAGATTTCAAAATGGAAGTACTTCAGCAGAGCAGATATGCCGAGAGATCACTTCATACGTGCATATTAAAAGCCATACACACAACAATTGGCAGGGACACATGGAAGCTTTGAACAGATATCGATAGATAGATTACCATTGATATCTTGTTTTCATGTTCAATTCATGGTAGAAGATTACTTGTATAGGCTGAGATATACGTACTTGACTAGTATAGTCATATAGGGGGACATTTATGAATGTTCGAGTCAGGATAGTCTAAAAAGAGACAAGGAACTGGTCAGTAGGTCCTACTATGTACAGAACAAGTTTTGATAAATAAAATGTTAGCTTTTAGAAAGAAAAAAAAAATCTTCTTCTAGTTTCGTGATTATAGTTTGTTTAAGTGATCTTAGGTTCCAAATGGGGAACAAAGATCTTGGAAACTTGCCATTACGAGAGGTGGATGGCAAAGAGGAATAACTTGATGAAATGCCTCAAGCTCCACAACAAAATCGTTGAGGGCATGGTCAGCAAGACGATGTGCCTCCACCTCCCCCTCATTCACCATCACAACAACCACAAGCGGTGCAACATCGCATTTTTCCCAATGAAGGTTATACAAGTGCCATAGCCCCCCCCCCCCTTTGTATTAGGACTAGAGACTTTTAAATTTCCAGTATGATTCTTACTTTGCTCGAGCAACGAGGTTATTTCACCGGGGCACGAAGTCAAAATTCTTATAAAATTTTGGAGGATATTGTTGATACGTGTTTGTGGAGCAAACAAACAAATATTTCGGAAGATGCTTTGAGGATAAGGATTTTTACATTCTCACTAAGGGGTAAGGCTTTGAATTTTTTGGAACGTTTGCCTAATCATTCTATTCATACTGGGGATGAATTGGCGGCGAAGTTTATTTTAATGTGTTTCTTTTCTGGGCCCATGGCTACTATTCGGGTTAGAATATTGGCTTTCAAGCAAGATCCCAATGAACCGTTGCATGAAACTAGGAGCGATATCAGACAATGGTCAATGAGTGCCCAAACAATGATGTGATTAACAATATGATCCAACAAGCTTTCTATCGTAGTATTAATAATACGAACCAATGTATGGTCAATAAATTGGTCGGAGGCAATTTTATAACAACACCTTATGTGGAGGCATGTGGGATTCTTGATGAGATGGAGGAAAATTCTTCGGCTTGGCAATCCCGATATAGTGTTCCCCGAGGTGATCCAAACATGATTCATCTTCATATGGAGTTACAACACCATGCAAAAGCTATTGCAAAATTGAACACAACCATGACTCAACTTGCTAAAGCCCAACTTCATCAAGTACAAGCTCCTAAGCAAGTTCATGCTATGAAATGGGTGAATGTCTTGGTCAACAAGAAGAAGACCAAGGGTCCACAATTCATTTGCGACTGGAGAATTATGAATAAGATGATGGTAGTTTTGACCAAGATGATTCTTATCAATAGCAAGAAGAAAAGGTTCAATTTGTGAACAATTACCAAGGGCAAAGGACCAATTTTTCAAGACTCAAAATGTCTACCGTGAAAATGGTAACAACAATTAAATTTATTAAACGGGACTCTAAAAATACGTAATATATTCCCAAGCTAGTTTGTCAGAGCAGATGATGCTAGTATTACGAATTTTAACGATGGGGGAGGAGATAAACGAGGTAACGACAGAACTGAAGGGTCCGCTACCCGGGCATAAGCTTGATCGATCGAGACTTCGAGGTCGACCTCGAGGTTGAGCTCGGGTTGTCGGGAATACTCGGGAGCAGTATAACAGATAGAGATATAATCAAATGAAGATAGTTATAACCGAAATTGAGTTTGTACGATGAAGAACACATATAACAATGAAGAACACATATAGCGGCAAAGGATATCGAGATGTCCTCAATATCAGTCAGAGCAAATGAGTTTTAGTAAGAAGAAAGAGAGAGATATTATTGCACTTGTAGAATTTTGGGAGCAACATCAGTCCCTTACAAGGTAGGGCGAGTCACCTTTATATAGTAGAGGAAACTTAGTAACGAATACATGTATATCTAATTTATGAAATATGGAGATGTGATGGCTTGACTCAACACCCCAGCATAGGCTAGGGATAGGCCGGTCCTGTTAGACCCAACCGCGTGTCTTGGGGGCTTCTCCTTTTATCTTTATCTCGACCATGAATCGGACCTCGACAAGCCTCGAAGGAGTGGACTAAGTAGTGACTTCATATCATTGGGGTCTTGAGATATCTTCCCGAGGTGGCGTCATGTCCTCAGGGTCTCGAGGTATCTCCCCGAGGTGGCTCGATGGTGGGAAATCAGGCCCTCTGATTTCACCGCGTACAGATAGTCTCCGCGTTTCTTAGAGTGAAGGCGACGAAGAACGATAAGAAACAGTTCTAAACCCTTGCTTATTCTGATGTTTTTGGATATCAGATATTAAGACGCGTTTCACGCATCGTTCATGCAGATTTCTACATTGACTGCAGCGGTTGCCTTTCTTTAATATGTCCAGGATGCTTTTATAAATACTTACTTCTCCTCTTTTTGATTCCTTTTTGCGTAAAAACCCTCAGCGAGGTTTGCTTCCCCTTATTTTTCATTCCTCCTCAGGAATTCAAGCCTCGCCTTTTTTCTCCTCTCCCTAAATTCGTCTAAGGATGACGAACGCTACAATTTCTGCTTCTCAAGAGGCTCGTTTTTCTCTCGGGGTGAAGTGGCTAATCTGCCCCGTGCTGAAGAGTGCATTCCGGGACCTTTTGTTATGACCTTCGATTTTAGGGTCGATAGGCCCTTCCCGAAGTCAGGGTGCTGTGAGCCCGTGACTCGGTATGTGAGCTCTATAACGGACATCAAAAGAGTGAAAGCGGACTGCTGCTGGGGAGATTCCATGCTCATGGAGATCCTGTGATGACTCGGCCGGTCGTCTCATGAGTTACCGCTCTGTTTCCCCCATTTATATTTCATTATGCCTTATTTAGCC